AATGTTTATTAACATTTAATAAAAATCAATGAAAATATATAAAAATGAAATGATAAGGAAAGAGTAAAAATACCCTATGAAATTCTAAAATAATTAGATGAATAATACCAAATTTATTTCTATATTATAGAACTTGGAATAAATTATTTCTTAGAGACAACAGATAAAATATGAATGTAACTTAAATGTCCATGGGTAGGGTGAGCTATTAAATTAGCCAGAACACTTAGGAATCAAAAATTACACAAGAAGGTGATAGAAGTTCATAGCAGTGGCATTCAGAAAGAGTAACCTGAATATAAATCCTAGTTACGCCATTTGGACAAGTTCCTTTGTTCCCTTCCTTATGGAGATGAAACCTCCCTTACTGGGTTGTAAGCATTGCGTGAGATGGTGCTTGCCAACTTCTTAGCTCAGCACTTATAATAAAGTTGAAGCTCAGTACAGTAGGAGACCAGATTAAACCAATGGAACTTTGATTTTCTTTATAAATCTTTTTATTTTTAATTACCTGCAAATTTAAATTGATGCTTAATATCTGTGGCCTGATATTTGAATGGACCTTGTCATGGAGTTTTGTAGCGCAAGTCCAGACATAATGTCTAGCTGTCCCTTGGACGGATGGGGAAACTGAGTCATTTAGAGACGGACTTACTTTCCAAGATTCTACATGCCTATAGTGCCAGACACAGTACTAAAATCCATCTGTCTCTTCTCATCTCTTTTCCTTTCCACATCGCCACTAAATGACTTCAGGTCACCAAGTATAATCCTGTCCACTGACTTTATATTTTTGACATTTTAAAAAAGCAGATCTGCCAATAGTCTACAGATTATATTTTTTACCTAGTTTCTGAAAGCTGATTAAGGAACTGGATTTTACTTAGTGGAAGCAAGACACAGTTCAAGAGACCAGTACATTCTCAGGTGATCTCTCCCTGGAAGAAATTTATAGCTGTATTCAAACTGACTGCCTTTGCCACATGCTGCCATCTCAGGGGAGCCCACTGTCAGTTTTCCCCAGGTTTGCACACGTTTCTGCAATCTGCAGTCATTTTTCTCCCTAAAGCATTTAAGGGTTAATGCCTTCTAATTATGGATAACTGTTTTTCCTCCTTTAAGCTGTTAATAAAGAAGCACTTGGAATGTTGCTTAAGGATATACCATGATGGTGGCTGAGTATAAAATTTGCTCTGCATTGACACTTGCATCATATATTTAGTTTCCTTGTAAAGATTTAAACATTTCAGAGGTAAATGGTATTTATTGCTCCATGAAATATAAATGAAAACTTGACTTCCTACTGTACCAAAGGATTGTAAACAGTCCCACACCTGTGCTCAATTTATAGTAAATCAAGCATTTGTAATTTTATTTCATGTTGCATATTTAAGTGCCTTTAATAAGCATGATGTGATTTGTAAGTCACATAATGAAGCCAGTTTAAATAGGAGTTATTAAAAAAAGAATAATGGAAATTTAAATAAGCATCTCTCTTTCCTGGCAGTATGAGTCAGATTATCAGTTTGCTCAACTTTTATTTAAATAACAATAAGTACTCTCAGCAAATAAGACTCAAGTTTGAAGCACATCTGGGTTTCATTAAAGGTGAGCTACTGAGAGCCTTTGAACTGAAACTTCATCAAGCTTTTCAAATTGTCTCTATGGATTTATTTACACATATAGAAGGATGCAGGGTGACCAGGCACTTGAAGAAAGAAAAAAGTGACCTGCCAGGCTGTCAGCATTGGATTACAGTTTGCATTTCCTTTTATGTTTCTACCCATCTAAATATCCCTTCTTCAGAAGGATGGTTTGGTTTTCTGCTACTTTGACAGTGGCTTTCATTGTGCTTGGTACATGCACAACAATAGATTTCTGATGTTGGTCCCAATTACAATTGACTATGGGACCTAAAAATATTAAAAACTATAATAAGTCCTGAGATTCAGGATTATTTCTAATGATAGGATGATAATATAGATATAAGTTTGGATATATATTCCTGAAGCCACAGTTTGTACCTCTAGACAAGGGGCCAGCTGTAGCTTGGGAAAGGAAGTCCAAAAACTTTCTGTTTTGTTCCTTCAAGTTATGAGCACATTGTGACTCATGAAAAATTAATTCTTGTGGTCTATTTTTGACCAAAAGATATACTTTCTTTAGAAATACGTGGTGTTTTCATTGACTCACATATAAGAAGTAAAAAATGATTTGTCTTTAAAGTTATTTGTTTTAAAATGATAAACTATATGGTGTGAGGAGTAAATATACCAAAATCAGACCGTTAATGATAGAAGTCAAAATGTATGCCAAGTGAAAATTAGGAGTTTTATAAGTCACTGTTTAATCATGTGACCTTGTATGGCCTTGTTGAAGTCTGCTCTGGTTTTGTTCTTTGGGGACTAGTGAGGTGGTTTTCAGTCATTATTAATCCATAAAAGTGAGTAATTGTCTGAGGTCAAGTCATCATGTGGGAGTAAATTAGATCCTGAGGGAAGATGAAGCAATGGGTCACATATTCCGTGGTACACAGGGACAGTAAATTTCCATTTCGTTCCCGCACCTGCACCACCATTGATCCAGTCCTGCTTTCTCCCTGGTGACTGAGCTCACCTGGGCACATCTCCAAGGCTGAGGTTTTGGCAGCTGGAGTTTGGTTGGGAGTGGCAGGAATTGAGCCATTGGGTACTGCAGGGTCACAAAGCAGTGTCCATAGAAGTCAAACTCAGACATGTGAGTGGAATAGCGTTATCTATGTCCAACACACAGGACCTGGACCAAAGGAGAGGTGCACTGCAGCAAGTAGATTTTAGGGTGGTCGGAAGAGGCAGAGGAGCCCAAAAATCTCTGTTTCTGGTTCTATCATCACAAGACCTCCAGCAAGTCTTTTCTCTTAGCTATGAAATGAAGACTGACAAAATGACTTCTGAGGAAGTCTTCTTACCTTGAACTCAGTAATGTACTCTCTCGTCCACTTAGGAAGAAGAAAGATGTTACAAAGGAGGTAACTCTTATCATTATATTTGCAGTAAAGTAGAATTCACCTATAATCAAGTTTCAAACTTTTTAGTAGTTTCTTAGTGATTTTCTTTCATATTCTTTAGAACATTATAATAAAAGCTTTTAAAAATAAAAACATAGGAAAATTTGCCACTCTTTTCAAAATCTATACCACGAAATTATTTTTAATGTTATAAAAAGAACCTCATTATTAGGTTGTTGTTATTTATTGTTTGGTGTATTATCTAGGATAAGCATGTGGGGCAATGTTCGTGAACTGATCACCTCCTGACTATTTTGTACTTACAGAAATTGCATCTGGGTGACACAGAATGTCTCATAATAATTGTTTTATTTCTCAGCAGTTTTTAAAATGGAAAATGTTAATGCAGAAAAAACACATTTTTTTCTTGGAGGTTCTAGTAGCACCAAGACTAAATTTTTTAATGTTTCTGGAATTAAGTCCCAGCTGCCTCTCCTAGATATTGTGGGTTTTGTTCAGTAGTGGGGTATTACTTTGGAGCTATTAAACATTAACATGAGCATTTATTAAGCACCAACTCTTTTTACTGCTGGGGTAGGGATGCAAGGTTAATAAAACTCATTCTTTCATGTAACATACTTTTATAAAGACCCTACTGTGTGTGAAATACCTGTGTACCTGCAATATAATAAGAAATGCAACAGGTTTAATAGAATTTTTACTTTACTAGAAGAAAGACATAATGACAAAAACCACACATTGGGATAAAAAGGTATGATAGGACAAAAAGATAACAAGTTAAAAAGGTATGTAAGAGGAAGACAAGTAAGCTAGTGATGACAATAAAGTGTGCTCAGGACTATGGTGGATTCTCCTGGGACCCACCAGTTAGGGCTTTAATCCATGGATTGGGCCTTTGTGGTGGCTGCTCACAGGGCAGTACGTCTGCGTAGAACCTTGTGAGGAATGGAGAGCAATTTTGGTGGTTAACTAAGCAGGCAAACCAATTACAAGCTATGTTAAAACATCAAAGTGATATCACCTAGAAAATTAGAAAAGGTCAGGCTAGAGGGAAATTATATGGTAACAGCAATCAGAAAAATGATTTCTAATTGTTAAATGTGTGTGTGTATATATATATATATTTCACTTTTTTGGTGGTAGTGTTTTTGAGACAGTCTCACTTTTTAGTGCAGACTGACCTTGAATTCGTGTAACTCTGACTGGCCTCTAATTTGAGATCTTCTTGCTTCAGTTTCCTGAGTCCTGGTAGTACAGAAGTGTACCATCGTGCCCAGCTAAATTTCATTTTCATTGGTTTTGTGTTGTCTTTGCTTTTATCTTCATATTGAGGAGTGTAACAGTCTTCCTTCAATGTTTGTGCTTGTTAAAGGACCCAAGTGAGTGGGATCCCACAGTATGCAAGACACAGAATATGTGGGGAGTCTGGCTTGATCGAGGATCTGAAAGGAGTGCCTTTATACATAACACTAGAGTCATGAAATGGAGAAGGAAAAGTTGATCAGGCAGAAACCAGTTGACTGTTGCTGCATATTGACTGTAGCTGGAAGTTTCAAAAATAAGGTAGAGGAAGAATCACAAATAACAAATCTGCCATCTGCCAACTTTTCAACTTAGTAATCAGCCTTGTGAACCAAAATTCAGAATAACTGCCTAAAAATGACATGTTTGCAGAGGCATGTGTAGGTTTTTGTTTGTTTTGGTAAGAGGATATGTGCAAATCATAAGATACTTTTATAAGATTTTCTCATTTAAATAACTCAGTATATACAAACTTACCATTGACAAGGGCACAGCAAGGAGCAAATGGCATACCAATACTGTATAATTATGAAAAATTTGAAGAAGAAGTTACTTTCAAATGCTGGATAGGGTTTAAGAAAAATAAAGATCGTATAAAACCCTTGTCCAGGAGAAGAGTCATCTTTGGACTATTCAGACAGTGCAATTCCTTAGGAGACTTTTAGGACATTTTCTGTCTCCCTTTGACCAGAGCTATAGAAGCCAGAGGGCAGAGGAGTTCACTGATGGAGTCCACATGGATCAACCTCCCAGGGAAAGGAGAGGATGGATAACACCAAGGATACATGTAGGTGAGCACAAAGAAAATATTATGGTGTTTATTTTGGACATTTTTGCCTTTAATTTGAAATCACCCCTTCCAACATAAAACATTGTATATTATCACAATAGAGATAAAAACTATCATTTTAGACATCTCACTTGTACCTTTCCTTGTTGACATTAGCATACACACATCACTTGAGTATTCTATTGTTATTTTTCTTGCATTATGTAATTTAAATAGATTCCCAGATTCTTCTATCCACTCTTTACAGAACACAGAGCTTATGTCCTTATTTATCTTGCACACTGATAAATGTAAGTGGGATCCCACAGTATGCAAGACACAGAATATTTGGGGAGTCTGGCTTGATCAAGGATCTATTTTGCACACTGATAAATAAAGACGAAAAAGATGAAATAAGTTACTTATTATCATAAGGTCACAAAATTTGTCAGAACCAAAGAGATCTTTTGTTCTTCCCAGCTGTAGGACAGATCTTAGCTCTTTTTTCTCTCTAGGTGCTTTTCTGTAAACCCTAATGATGCCTTAATCCTATTTTGTCTCAGAAAAAAAGGAAAAAAATAAACTAAATCATATGGTTTATTGGTAATTATCAGTAAATGTTTATTGGTAATTATCAGTCAAGACTTTCAGAATGGAATAGTCATCACAGATAAGTCTGCTCCTACATACTATGAATCAGGTCCCTTTTTAGTTGAGTTGCATGCATTGTTTCATTTATTCCTAATGGTCCTTCAGTCTAGAAAGGTGGTTTCTGCAGAAACTTACACGGCTTTTTCCCTCGCTCCTTCCTGGCCTTCAGAATGTCACCTTAACAGAGAGGCCTTCCCTGACCCTTCTTTGTAACCCTCCATCCTGGTCCTCTTCATTCTAGTACAGCATTTTCCAATGGAAACTTAATGTGAGCCACAAATGCAAGTCATATATGCAATTTAAATTTTTCTTGCAGTTATATTTTGAAAAAAAGCAAAAATATACAAGCAAAAATAATTAAATAATGTATATTTTATCAACACACCTAAAATACTTTGTCTCTGAAACATTTGTCTCTAAAAGTATTGGAATTTTATATTCTCTGTTTCCTTAAGTCTTTAAAATCTAGGATTTATACTTATAGCACATGTAGTAAATACACTAAAAGCATTTAAAAGCATTTTCTCTTAATGTATATCTCAGGTTGAATCAGCTACTTTTTAAGTGCATAATAGGTAAATGGGACTAAGAGCTACCATAAGAGATTGTCCTATGTCTTTTCCATATTTCACTTTTTTTTCTTTTTTTCAATGAGACGCTTGGCAAGGTTAAATAAATTGCTCAAAACAAATCACAAAACTTACTGCTGACAGAGTGGAAGATGCAATTCAGTTTATTCTTATTGATATATTGATTTATTGTCTCTCTTCATGTGATTATAAACCTTAATTTTTGAAAAAAGTAATTATTTCTCTATGGTGCTGGGGACTCAACACAGAGTCTCCAGCATGGTAGGCAAGTGCTCTATGATTGAACCACATCCTCACCCTAGAGATTAACTTCTTTAAAGCAGGAAAGTTATTGTTACTCACTGTTATATTTGGAATATGTGGAATAATATCTCACCCAAAGTCAGCATTGCAACCTCTGCATGTGGAAGATCCATCTCTTGAAGCAAGTTCAGCTGGTTTAAAGATAAGAAGAGAAAGCACATCAGAACAAGTACTCTCTCCAGACCACAGGCCAGCCCGTGGGTGTCACCTATGGGGGTTACCCTCAGAAAGCACACCCTCTGCTGAACTAAAATATACACAAACGCATGAAAGTGATAAACAATGCCTTAATGACTTTCTTCAAAGTTTCCTTTTAAATTATATTAAAATAAATCAAGAAATATCAGCAAGACCAAGATAAAGTAACTTTAGGTCCCTTATAAGCCAGAGAGAGACTCACTGAATGTAATAATTTTGTTCCCTTCAGGTCCTGGTAATTCCATGCTCTGCTGATTTATAGAGAGCTTGCCTTTGCAGTAAATCTTTCCCGCAGTAAAGCATTGTCTTATAGTAGCTACGTTTTTATTATTTTGTTGAATGGTTCAGTCTAAATGCATTGTGCAGGTTTGATGGACAGTGATGAATTTTTTAAACACCTGTAGACTGATGCATGTTACGTGGACACAGTTATACTGACAAGATCAAAAAGGCTATTCATCATTGATTGAGTGATATAAAACAGAAATGTGTAGATGCTCTGGATGATAGCTGAATTCACTCTGTTTGTTTCACTCCTATATGCCAGGTTCTACAGTACTGTATACAGTGACTCAATTACGTCACAACATAATTGAGTATCATTTTAACAATCAGTAATTGTGTTTTCTTTGTACCAGGTACATCAAAGGCCAGGTATTTCCAAAATACTTGAGCAGAAGAATTTTCTCTTTCCATTTCACAGAATTACAAACTGAGGAATAAATAAATTATGTAAAGTCCTCGAAGTTTCTCACTTAAAGTACTACAGCTCTGAACTGGATGATCTGACTCCACAATCCACATGCTGCTTCTTTGTTGTCCTGTTTACATTCTGAACATCCTGAGTTAGCAGTTTGGTTCTCTGTCTGCACTGAAAGGGCACTTTGGAGGAACTGATCTCCAATAATAACCTTGGAGCCAAACAGGACTGATTCTCTCTCCAATTCTGACATTTTTAACTGTAAGAAATTAGACAAAATTATTTACCCACTTGTGCCTCCCTTTCTTCTTTGTAAAAAGGGACAACAATACCACTACCACTGTTATGAACAGCATTGAGAAGATATGATATTGTCAGTTGTTTATAAAATTACAAAATACTTTAGCAGAATAAAATGTTCCTGTTATTTATACTATACTTTTACTTCAAGCAAAAAGTAGCAACAATTAGAATTGGAAGGGAGGGTATTCTAAAGGAAGCAAACAAAGTATTTCCATAAACTTTTTACGTGTATGATACATATTTAATAGCTTGTACAGTTTGACAAGCAAAGATAAAATTATTGAGAAGACTATGATCTCATGCTTCTGGCATAGCTTGTTGATGAGTCCAGGTCAAGAATAAATTCTCTTTATGTTGTTGTAGAGCAGGGTGAAGTGTATTTGACACATTTTGGATTTTTCACTGGAGCATCTGGCATTATTTGGGGAAGTAGCTTAGCATTAGCTGGATAGACAATTGGGCAGCTCTACTTAGAATCTACTACATCTGTGTCCTGTAGTGATGGTTGTTTAAAATTACATGTGTCTGCAATCTTTGAACTGAAAGGCACTGTAACAGGTTGGGTCTTGCTGATGACATACATTTTGCAAACTGGGCTCTGTGTCCTCGGTATTGATATTGTCATGCACTGTGGATCAGCTTCACTTTCATTCAGATCTTGAAAATTATCTGCCTCTAGAGGTATTTAAAGTGAAAATAAAAAGTAATTTCCAAAAGATACTTTAAAAGAGAAATACAACTACATTTCATTGCGCTTTTTGTTATGTCCTTTTGGATGTCTGACTTCTCATACAAATGGAATTATGTATTTGTATCCAGTATATTCTACTTGGCTTATTTTTTTAAGCTCCATCCTTGTTCTTGCACATATCAAACTTCCATTCATTTTTAAGGCTTAGTAAATCATAAAGAATGGAGATTAGCAAAAGTTAGGGAGGAAGAATATGGAGTAATCATTTAATGGTTATGAAATTTCAGTTTTAGATGATTAAAAGTCTGGAAACGGACACTGGAGATAGTTATGTGATAATGTGAATGCACTTAATGCACTAAACTGTACAATGGTAATTTTACATTTTGTATTTTTTTTACCACATTAAAATACAGTGTAAGGTAGGCAGTGGATACAAATAATATAGTTTCATAGAAGTATCATCAAAATTATCAAAAGCTGTGCATCCAGATCTTAATGGGTGTATGAATTAGGAAAAAACGGAAAAAGGATGAGGTTCTCCAGGAAAGGAGGTCAAGACACCTCTCCTTAGAAGAAAGAGGAAAAGATAGGCGTGGGTGTTTATGGGAAGGAACTTAAGGAGTTTTAGCATGGGAACCTGGGTCTCTCATGGTCTGTCTCTGTCTCTCACTGTCTCTTTTTCTCTCTCCCCGTCTCTCATATTAGGGATTTAACCTAGAGTTTTCTCACCAGTTTTTATTTTGAGACAGAATCTTTCTGAGTCACTAAATTGCACAAGCTGGTCTTACGCTTCAGACTCTCCTGCCTCAGCCTCCCACGGTGCTATGATTGCTAGTAGGTGCCATCATGCCAGGTTAGTGGACTCTCACTTGTTGAAGGAGTGAAAATTTCATTTGAAGATGCGACTGGGCGAAGTGAAAAACTACAAAGCTGTACAACAAAGCTTTTGGTTAAAAAAAAAAAAAAAAGACAGGGGAAGAATAAAAGAATTGCAAATCAACAGACAGGAGTTAGCTGCAGTGGGGTATAACAAATTTGTCATAGAGCCAGTAAGCAAAGCTATGTGATTTTCTGTAGCAGCCCTTGACAACGCAGAAACAACCTGGAGAAAGAGGCAGCTGGGTTGATTTATGGAATGACATTTGCAAGACAGTTGTGGTCAAAAGTTAGAGAGCTGGGGGAACTGAGAGTACTCAGGAGAATGCAGTGTATTTGGTTAACCATGAATCCCCTGGTGGAAAGGAAGGGGGAAAGGAGGCAACACTTGAGGCCCACATGTTTTTTTGTTTTTTGTTTTTTGTTTTTTTAATTTAAAGAGAAAAAAGAAAGGAAATAAAAAAACAAAGCCGTAAAAGGGTACAAAGTAATACAGAATTTCAAGAAAAAAAAAAAAAAACATACAGTAAGAAATCACTAGTTAATAGGTTACATATTGTCTTCTTAGAAGCAGTTGTCCAAATTATAAAATTAAAGCATATAAAGTGCGCATTCATACAGTGAGATTGCAGACAGTTCTGTTCAGTGATCCAACAAAAGCTCAGTAATATGGTTTTCCATCCTACATAACTCGAATGTACCTGCGG